AAAAAAAAAAAAAAAAAAAAAAAAAAAAAAAAAAAAAAAAAAAAGACTGCATGTGGGGCAACTTACCTCAGCATTTTTTGTTTTATAGTTTAATCCTTCCATACCAAAAATGGCTTTTTCATCCTTTTAAACCTCTAATACTAGCCTTTGTTTTATAAGAGGAGGCATGTCGGTGACTCTCTTAGTATCTTCTTCTAAGAGAGATCGTAGGAAGACAACAATCTCTACCTTCATAAATTTCATCCTATATAGCAATGAAAGTTATTGACTTAATGCATGATCATGGAACACCCATATACACTGTACTCGAGAACTTTCTAACAAAAGCGGCATATAGAGATTTACTTCCTCAATTTGATGGCCTTTGTTTTTGTTTATGAAACAGCTTTTCCTGGGGATTATAGTGTGCATGATGTCTCTGCACATGTATTTTGCTCCTCCTCAGATGCTTGTGGATTTGCCTTCTCCATCGTTAAAATCAGACCCAGAGAGTCTGGCAGAGGCTTCCAGTGATCGTAGATCAGATTCTTGATTCTTTCTAATCTCGAAGCAGTTATTATTTGGTGAGTCTGTATTGATTTACAAAGACCACCATGAAAGTTGTGAACAACTGAGCTTGCCATATTATAGCGCAAGTAATATTAAAAAAGATGTGTAGAGCCCTAGCATTTAGAAACTTATTACTACCTTTTTGCTCAAACTTTCACACCATGGATTGGATGGATCTGTGTTTGTATCTTATCACCAACATTGTTGAAGGATGATGCAACATTCATTTTAGAAATCCAAGGGAGATTTGATTGAAGGTAAATGTTCTAAAACATTCAATCAATTGAAGTCCAAACTATATGGGTTTGGATTATAAATTTTAAGCTGTTTGTTAGAATCTAATATTTACAAACTGAACAAAATGCAATGCAATGCAATGCACAAAATGAATCCTCTTTCTTCAAAATAAGTCTCCCACATCCCATTTTCACGGCTCGAACTCTGTCCAAATCCTCCACACTGTCCCACAAATCGCCGCGAAACACCGTCGTCTGTGGCGGCTGGTAGTGTACTCCATCTCATCTCTGCCGCCGCACTCGCGGTTCTCCGCCGGGAGGGCTGCGAGGTCGTCAACGATTTTCGTTGAACAAGTACAAATCTCCTCCGGTTGTAGCATATTCCGTTGTTGGCGAATTGTGGAGGTAGATCTAATCGGCGTGGCCGGCCACGTAGTTGTCATTGCCGGAATTGGTGGTGTCAGAGCCGATGACGAAGATGATCCTCCGATCTCTTTAAGTTTGAAATGATATCTAATTACTTCTTAAAGTTTGTTCTTTGAAGGTCATAATATCAACTCATCAACTCATTTTTTTTATTAATTATTAATTAGTCATTAAAAGTTTAATTCTTTTATGTTAAAATATGAACAATCCTAAGGGCTTTCTTATTGATGATGGTGACGGTATGGATGATAGTGGCGATATTGATGATATCGACCGTGACCTTGATACGGAGCTGGAACTTCTAACTATGATGAATGCGCCGCTAACTATGGATATGATGTCGGAAATAGACCAATTTTATATCACTCTTCAATTCGAAATAGAGAGTAGGATAAGAAACTCGTAAAAAAAATGTTAAATATATATTTTAGTATTTAACATTTGGATGTTTTTTCAATTTTGATCTTACATTTTAGTTATTTATATTTTAACCCTTTTTAATTTATCTCTATAATAATTCATAAATGTGAAGAAAAAAAAGTTAATTATTTCTCAAAATTTCTAAAAAAATTAGAATATATTTTCACTTTCTTCTCAAAATACAAATCATCAAAGAATCAAAACAATTAGTGGAGAGAATGCTAAATGACTCAATTTTTCAGCCACTCAATTTCGTCAGTCACCCTCGAGGTCCCATGCCAAGGTGAAGTTATCATACCTCTCAATAACTTTTTTTCCAATCCAAATAATAACTTCATACAAAGATTGTTTAAAAAAATAATAAGAATAATTAAATATATCAATAAAAAAACAAATTACATTGTCTTTACATTATAATCACAATAATATAAACACCCTTTATATTAGTACAAATTAAATGAAACCCTCTTTTTTTTTCCTTTTTTTTCATTATATTTCACACTTAGAACAAATGTGTATTTAGTCAAAGAATTATTTGACGTTCTAAAGTAGTAATATTTAATAAAAATTAATTCGATTTAAAAAAAAAGGAAAAAAAGAAAAAAGTTCCAATAAAATATTCAACCCAATAAAAATAAATAATATAATATAATTGACTTCCGAGCAATAGTGTAGTGCAATTGCAATCTCATCCGCGTATATTGATCCTGCATTCAAAATATTTTATATTAATTAAGAATATTTTTAATATAATTTAAAAAGAAAAAACATCTATATAAATTTAATAATTAAAATATTTAAGTAAGATGTTTTTTATCCAAAATAATTAAAAATGATGGAAATAATAATTATAATTGTTAGGTGAACAAAATGGTATGATATTGTCCACTTTGAGTGGACTCTCATGCCACTATCCAGGCTCTCATGCCACGGTGGGATGATACTGTCCAGGCTCTCATGCCACGGTGGGATGATACTGTCCAGGCTCTCATGCCACGGTGGGATGATACTGTCCAGGCTCTCATGCCACGGTGGGATGATACTGTCCAGGCTCTCATGGCTTTGATTTGTGCTTCCTCAAAAGGCCTCGTACCAATGGGAAGATATTACTTACTTTGAACCTCCAACAATAATAATAATTAAAAAGAAAAAGAAAAAGAAAAAAAAAGAAAAAAGGGAGGAAGAACATACCATCTAAGCAGATTGATATTGCATGTAGGCATATCACCGGCCTCAATATTCTTCAATTTAGACTCGCAATCCAATTTGACGGGGATGGGACCCACCGCCCAGCCTTGAGCCACCACGCCCACCGCCGTCCTCGCCTCTACTTTCACCTCCATCGCCTTACTCTGATACTTGGACACCAGCCTCGTCGAGTCCTCCACCCCCAGCATCTTCCCCTTCACCCCGGAGTCCGCCTTCACCGTCGTCGTGCTCCGCCTCCCCTGCGTGAACCCCTGCAGCTCCCGCTGCCCGAACTCCGCCGCCTGCCCCACCATCACGTCGTACTCGATCTTCCCGTACTTGATCGCCAGCTTGTCGTTGGGGTTCTTGAACTCCACGCGGATGGACACCTGGGCGTCCAGGTAGGACCCGTCGGGGGTCGGGGCAACCTTGAAGGAGGAGATGCGGAAGGCGAGGAGGTGGAACAGGGGAAGCTTGGGGTCGAAGATCAGGTAGAACAGGGCGCCGGCGAGGGACACCACCACGATCAGGAACAGGATTAGGAAACAGAACACGCAGCAGCAGAGTCTGCAGCAGCTGCTTTTCCTCTTCTTCGGCTTGTACGAGGTCGGGAGACGGGGCTTGTTTCTGGCGGCCGGCGGCTTCGAGACCGGGATGGAGGCTGAGCTACCGGAGGCGCTTGGGTCCTTGTAGCCTGGAGGCCTCTGGAGCGGCGGTTTCAGTGGCGAATCCGCCATGAATGTTGAGGGAATTTGGAGGTGGAGGTGGAGGTGGGATTGGATGAATTGGAGAGGGAATGAATTGGATTGGAACAAAATGGAGATGGGATTGAATTGAATTGAAATTCAATGGATGGATGGATCTCGAAATTAGGATGATTGAGAGAGAATTCCGAGAGAGAATTCCGAGAGAGAAAGGCGGAGAGATTTTTATGAAATAGTGTATGGTGTGGTGGGACGCCACACTCCGGCGCCTAATTCGGTTGCTCATACCCCCCTCGAAATTACCCTTCAACCAACTCCTAATTTCCCTTTTTTTTATTTTTATTTTCTATTTTCAAGAATATTACTTTTTATAGAGCTTCCCATCCACATTTTTTTTAAATGTATTATTGAGCAACATAACATCTGATATTGATATTCCTACCGACCAACACTAACCCAAGTTTTCTCTTATTATTGACCAACAGACCATCTGATATTGATATTCCTACAGACTAACACGAACCCAACTTTTCTTATTATTGAGTAACAAACCATCTAATATTGATATTTCTACGGACCAACACGAACCCAACTTGATCGAATTAGCTACCTGATATTGATATCTCTATAGACGAACCCAACTTAGAATTATTTAATTTTAAAGTTTTTATGATTGAGTAACCGAACATAAATAAGTAATAACTATAAATTCTTTTAATTATTTTTTAATCATAAATTCATATTTTCACGATCACCCTCATTTTGATGTGATTTCGGATCATTCATTAACACTTTTTTAATTAACGGTTGGATCGTTTATTCAAATCTTTTGGTCTCTACTAGAGCCCGTTGAAAAAAATGGGATCAATTGTTATGAACTCTTAGAGTCCTGGTCTCCTCCCACTACTTGGAAGCTTACGGTTTCATGTTCTATTTCACTTCCCGACGAGGGTTCTTTTCACCCTTCCCTCACGGTACTACTTCACTATTGGTCACCCAGGAGTATTTAGCCTTGCAAGGTGGTCCTTGCTAATTCACACGGGATTCCACGTGTCCCATGCTACTCGGATTAGAGCGTAAGCTAGTGGTGCTTTCGGCTACTGGACTCTCGCCATCTAGGGTGCAGCACTCCACCGCTTCGTCTAGTAGCACGACGCTTGTATTGCTCTCCCACAACCCCGTTTTCACGGTTTGTTGAGAATGATTCTAATTCGGTCTTGAGCTATTAGGGGTAATCATGGAAATTCTAACTATTTTATTTGATATAATATAAACATAAAAAGAAAAATTAGAGCAACATTTATACAGAGGAAGGAAACAGTGAAGGACCATGAAGCTTCATAGACCTCACCTGCAGACAATAACATAGAAAAAGCCCTAATCAAGACTGCCTATCTTCCGAGATAGGTTCCGATTTCGATCAAGAACAGTGGTTTCCGCTGCCGCCATTAGAGCATCTCATTCTCACTCTCAGAGGAATTTCGATCGGCGATTGCACTCAGGCGGAAGGCCTTGAGGAAAGCGCTTGAGATCGGTACAGTAATTGTAGATCATGAAGTACTTTTGGACCCAGCGGAGGCGGCGACGGCCAAAGGCGTCCAGTTCGGCAGCGGAGGAGGAGCCGGAGAAGGACGACCAGGATTTAGCGCAGTCTGCGGCGGTGCAAGCGGTGGCGTTAAAGTTGCGGTAATAGGCCGTGAATGGAGCTTTAGACCAGTCGGTTTTGACCAATCCGCCTCTGGTAGCCCAGTCGTCCGCATTCCAAAGGCTGGAGTAGATTCGCATCGGCTGAGTCCTCGGAAAAGGTACGCCGATCTCCTCCGCATTCTTGAACTCTCTAATCGGATAGTTATCTACTAAGAATCTGAAATAGAAAACGACGATGAACAGAAATCCAAAATATTATAAAACTTTTACTCGAAATCTTCTGATGATCATAGAAATAGGTAAAAGAAGAGGAAGAACTGTTGTTCTTACATAATCCGTTGAGGATTCCAAAGAATGGAGTAAGTATGGAAGTTCTTGGTTGGATCAAACCAGAGGTAGAATTGTTGTTCTCTGTTTCCCTTCCCTTGAGTGAACACATTGGTATGGAGAATGTAAGGATCACCGCTTACATTCCCCAGAAATTCGAAGTCAATTTCATCATGGCTTGCTCCTTCGGAAGACAACTGCCCCAAACCCCAAACCCCAAACCCCAAATCCCAAAAATAAATAAATAAATAAATAATTAATTAATTCACTATTTTCCTATCTTATCATTTCTTCACTTTTTTGGACAAAAGAATCCCATAAAGTCAGCCTATGCCTTGTGATTTAAGACTATGATTTTGTTAATTACATCAATTTCTTTGTTACTGTAATCTAAAATGTCAATAAATAATCGAATTAATTTGTCTTTTACTTATTCATTTTTCGTTTTTTTTTTAAATTTTGTTTAAATTAAATAGCTATATGTAATTCACGTGAAGGATAAATGATCAATCAAAATTTAGTTCATAAAAAGCAATAAAACAAAATTACATTTACCTTTTTTAATTATAAATAACAAAAGTATGCCTATTTTTGTTTTTAATTTTATAATTTTAAATATCTTTCTAGACTAAATTAACAAAAATATCCTTAAATTTTTTTAAAAAATATTTCTATATTAAATTTTTGGATGGAAAGTATGAATATTTTGTTTCAAAATTCATACCCAAAACATTTTTTAAAAAAATTTCAAAAATACCTTAAAAAAACTTCAAAACTTTTTTAATTTTTTTTTTTTAAAAAAATACTCAACCTTTCAAAACAACATTAAAACGTTTGGGGTATTGTATAAGGTGTTATTAGACTATTTTCGTCGAATTAATAATTTCTAGTATCTTAGGGGTATTTTTATTTATTTAGTTATTTGATTTATATTCAACTCAATTCAAACATAACTTTCTAGGTAAATGGGTCTATTACTTTATTTGAAATTGACGGTTCATAAACAGAAAAAACGTTCAAACATTCAAAATCCCGTGATGTTCTTTAAGAAAAAACGTTTTTTTTTATTTATAATATTTTGAATAATGATTAAAACAGTTGATGTTATCTTCCCTCCAAGGAATCTGAAGAAGAAGAAGAAGAAGAAGAAGAAGAAAAGACATACATAATAGGCGGTGACAGTGCCGGCGGAGTTACCGGCGACGAGCTTAAGCTGCATATCAATCCGGCCAAAGAGGTACTGTTTTTTGGACTGAAAACCAGACCCAGAAACCCTATCAAGAGAGAGAGAGAGAAGGGAGCCGCCATTGAAGACCTTAGCTCTATCTCCGCCCCAAGTGATCTCAAAATCCTCATAAAAGCTTCCCCCGTAAGCACGAAAAGCCCCCATAAGAAGAACCCACCAAAACGCCACGCTTATGGCTGCGGAGCCGTAGGCCATGGCCGTCTAGAGAGAGAGAGAGAGGAAGAAGGAAAGATGGGTTTGCCTGAGAAAGGGAGAAAGGAATTTATAAGAGAAGGATGGAGTAGTAATGAGAGGCGTGGGGGACGCGTGAAGAGGAAGAAGAAGAAGAAGGAAGAGCGGAAGGGAAGGGAAGGTGGTGACAGCGCGGCAGATTAGAGGCTCCCCTCCAAAGTACGTTCTAAACCTTCTGCTTTTAAGGGCTTTTACTACACAATACATTACCCCCCCTTTTTTTTTTCTGAGGGATTCTTACTCTTTGGGTTTGGCATTTTAATAAATCTTTACTTAATGTGGAGGTTTACAAAAGTAGGGTAAAATAGTGAGTAAAAAAAAAAAAAAAGAAGAAGAAGAAAAAGTGGGTTTGAGTGCTATGATGTGGCTGTTAGACAAACAGACTCTCCACAATAGTATGAAATTGTCCAGTTTGAGCATAAGCTTTGCGTGACCTTGCTTTGGACTTCCCCAAAAGGCCTCACGATGGGGAGAGTATTCTTTGTTTATAAGCCCATGATCATTCCCTAAATTGGCCGATGTGGGACTTTCATCATCCAAGAATAGCTAATAGTTTTGTAACATTGAATGCTATATGGAATAGGCATTTAGAATAGACACACGGTGGTAGTTGATGTCGTCTTATTGAATAATAATAATTTGTTTAGGAGTTTAAGCCGATAAAATTACTATATTTTAATATTTGATTTAATGGGGTGTCTATCTATAATTTAGAAAACGAAACTTCATAAAGCAATCTTACTAACAATATTATTATTATTAGACTTTTGTGGAGAAGTTTAAGAAATTTGGAAACTAAGTACAAACATCTGAGAAATGCCTGACATTTTCAACTTAGTTTCTTAGAATTAGTATATTATATTGAGTGAGTGTAATCCTCACACATACCTCTATCTATGCCTATGCCTATGCCTATGCCTATACCTACACCTACACCATATTTATATATTTGTGAAAACTATTTTTTATTTTTTGGTTAATATTTTAAAATTCTTGAAAGGGTTGTAATTGATATTTTAAGTAATTATGTAAAATATATTTTATTCATGGTAAATCATTAATATTAAACCATAATTCTAAAATCCAAATTAATTTGAATTGATTTTTGAAATAAAATTTAGAAAAAAAAAATTGTGTTGGTGGATGACAACGGGTTTTGGCATGGGAGAATAAAGGTCGGGAGTGAGTGAGCCTTGGACCACAAATCATTCCTGTTCTATCCAATCAGAACTTGACAGCTGGCTGCTGCATGGCTCCCCATTGGCCACTTCCTTTGCTTCCAAATTATGAGTCAACCCACTTGATTTCAGCCCATGCTTTCTTCCATAAACCCATAAATTTAATTTTTATTTTTTAAAAATTATATAATTTTGTTTTTTAAAATAAAAATTGATAGGAAAAAAAATAGGGATTTTGAAAAGAGTGATGCATAATTGAGGCACTAATTGGACCCTACACCCTATATTTGATTATCATAAACAAAGTTGGAGGATTAGATGCAATTAATATTCCCTTTTGATTAATCACCTTTTTTTTTTTATCCCAATGATTTAATGTAAAATATTGAAACCCATCACTTCATAATTATTCTCTCACTCAAACACTAACAATTACAATTAATATTCTAACTTTACAATTTAAATTTAGTAAAACATTATTTTATTCTTCTAACTAATTAATTGGTTTTTAGCCCTAATCCAATTCTATAGCATCATTATTTGAAAGAAGAAAAAGTAGAGTCACGTTAAAATATATGAAAAATAGAATATCCAAAGTCCACTACTAACAAATATTATTCGTTGTAAACCTCACCATTTAAAATGCATATGCTAGAGAGAGGTTTTCATACTCTTGTAAGAAATATTTCATTCTCCTCTCAAACCGATGTG